TGAATAAATAATTATAGAAGAATTAAATTTTTTTTAATAAATTATAGGCAGTAAGCAGTGACAGTGAACTGTGAACAATAAAACAGAGGAAAAAAATAGAGCAGTGAAGGCAGCAAGCTACTGTATCTCAAAAAGAAAGAAGAAAGAGAAACGAAGAAGAGGACTGAACTCTGAAGAGAAGAAACAAAAAAAGAAGGCAAGAAGAAATCTGAAGAAGAAGAGAACTCAAGAAGAAGAAGAACTGAAAAGAAGAAGAAAAAAAAGAGGTATACCTGGCAGCAACTTGTGCGATGAAGAAGGAGAAGAGATGCGAGGGGAAGAGGAGCAGCGACTCGAGCGACTGAAGGTGGAGAAGAGATCGCAAGGAGAAAACGCGACTGAAAGTTTGAAAATAGAAAAAAAAAACCCTAATTTTGACTAATATTATTAAGTCAAATCTTTTTAAAAATTAAAAAACCAAAATGGCGCCGCCATTTACGTCGCCTTCTGGTCGCCTTTTTGATATCACCGCGCCTCAGTGTAGAATGGTGAGAATGGCTCGCCTTGCCTTGCCATATCGCCTTTGGCGAATGGCGCTCACCATTCATAACACTGGGGTAGGGTCGGAATTATGGCACAACCTTATGCAAATCAAATTTGAGGAGTCACCAGAAAGACAAATGGATCTATGCAAATCAAATCGATTCACCAAAAAGACACACGGAGCTATGCAACTCAGATATGAGAAAGTAGTTTGGAAAATTCCACAGTACTATGCAAATTAAATATGAAAAGTAGTCATGCATAGTGCTACGCAAATCAGATATGCAAAAAAAGTAGTCACCGGAAGGATGGCACGGTGCTACACAAATTAAATATGAAAAAAAGTAGTCATCGAAAAGATGGACGGTGCTACACAAACTAAATATAAAAAAATAATCACCAGAAAAGATACACGACGGACCCAACTTTTGCTAACATAATCATTGGCCAAACGAGCGACATATATGGGTAATAACTGCCCGCCGGCAACGGAAGCTCTTTGATTGTTTATCAAGATCGTAGAGGCTCTGGTACCATGTGAGAAATATAAGAGAGGAATATTATTGAATTGTGTTGTTATCTATATTATTACATAGAGACTCTATTTATAGACACTACAATACAATACGATCCTTTACCATTTACTACTATTTACTACTCCTATTTACTAGTCCTATTCTAAGTAGGATTATATATACCTATTCCTATTCTAACAACCTCAATTTCTCCAATTTATGATTCTTCTCCAATTATAGGGTTTCATGATTTCTTATGGGTTCTAATTGAATTTCAGTTTATTCTTTATGATTGATCTTATTATGCATGATTTGATCATAATTCAATGTTTTCAAAGGTATTTTCATGAACCCAAGCTATGTAAGTATTTTTATGATCATGAGTCATGACTAAGCTATGTCTGTATGCATGCATTATGGTATGAAGGTTTTCATGAATTAAGGATGCTTTCATATAAAGTATCATTCAGTTTATATGATTATCATGCTTTAGATGCTTTAGGATAAAGTCTCTCAGATTATGTTATGTATCATAATTTTAAGGAACTATAATTATTAAATTCTCCATGAATGATTCAGTATTATCAGATTCTTACTGTTTCTATGATTATGCATGTTTTCTGTTGGGAGGTTACTTAGCATCGAGTGGACCTTGGGATGAAGGCTCACCTGTTAGTAGAGGCATGAGACCTTTACTAACAATCCCTTTGTCCCAAAACTACGTGGCCCCATAGGACTAAGTCTTTACAGACTTTTGCTAGTGGATCCAACTTATCTCAGGCTCGTGGTCCTTATCTTGGCAAGTAGGACACTCTCTTTTCGGTGTGTGAGCAGTACACTAAGCTCCATGTTGTAGCTCACATGGTTTATATCGGTTAACGGTATCTCCCACATATGTTATGATTTTCAGAATATTGCATGATCTTGTACTATGTTTTCAGAATCAGATCATCAGTTTTCATATTATGTTTACTTGGTTATTGTTCCATGTTTTACAAACTTATCATGTTATAATGTCATGTTTATGCATTTTCCCATATTTAGTACATTCCGAGCACTAGTCGCATACTTTCTTCCTATATTGTTTCATAATATAGGTTCTGATGCATCTTATCAAGTATGTGCTTAGTACAAACTCTTATCAGCTTAGCACTATTTTGGTGAATCCTCATGGTTCGGGGACATACCACTTATAAGTCCTTATGTTCATTCAAACTTTACTCTCAGTTTTCAGATTATTCAAGTGATCTAGAGACTTGTCCTAGCAGCTCACTTATGTTAGAGGCTATTTCAGACATTAGTATTTCGCACATGTGTCTTGTACTCGGATCTCTCTTTTATGCTATGTCTAGGCATTTGAGAGTTTATTCCGCTTTTCATGTTATTTCAGTTATGCCTGTTATCTCAGGGTCATGCTCATGTCATGTGGTTAGCTTGGGGTCACTCGTGGCTCTAAGTACCATGTCATGTCTAGGGGGTAGTCTTGGGTCGTGACATTCCTTCATGTGTAGTTTGCAATGTATAACATACTTTTTTTGCATTATTGCATGAAGACTGACTATACTCATCAGGTCCAAAGCCACAAATAAGAACCTTTTTGGCTTTGACATTATTTTGGACTGCCTTGATGTCTTCATTAGTGAACTCATCCCTTGTCTTGGGACCAGTTTCTCTCCTGTTGTCATCCTTGGCCATTGAGATTTTTGGACCTTGTTCAATAATATTCCATGGCTCTAGGTCCTCTCCAACAATAAAGTCCTGCATCCCGACCTTCCACCAACCGTAATATTTTCCATTGAAGGATGGTGGCCTTGTGGTCGATTGTCCTTGAACTCATGGTAGTGCAGCCATCTTTAGTCTTTCAAGGTGTTAGCCTTTTGAAAGAACCTGCTTTCGTACTAATTGTTATTTTATGTTTTCACTTATGTATTGAATAAGCAGGTTCTTCAGTTACTATTCAAGAAGTAAATGTGGAACAAATAATCAAAACAATGGTTTTTACATGGAGAACTTCTCGCTCCCGGGAGTCAACAGCCATGACCTACCCCGTCGGCTTTTCTCCCAACTTTCCACTAAATTTGTTCTACTTTTTAGGCTACAACTTTATAATCAAGGGACTGCTTCATAGACTTTCCCCCCTACAAATCTCCTAATTGTAGCTACTTGTTTCTATACTCTACCAGTCTTGAACACCCTTACAATTCAAACACCTAATACAAATTTTCTATGAATGTAAAAGTTTACAATTTAAGCTCAAAGAATCAAACTTGAGTAACTGTAATGATAAATCTTGATGGGAATTCTTCACGCTGCAAGTTGACTCTTTCTGATACGAAGTCACTCAGAATAAATTCTCTCTTTAGGTGTTCTCTTCTTGCTGTGTGGTTGTCTTCAATAGCATTAATGCAATGCTTTGTATAGGAGTAGGAATGACCGCTTCTTGTTCTCCTAATCCTTGAAGAATAACTTAAAGAATCGAAGAACCTAATCCAAGTTTGATTTGGTTTCCATTTGTGCGTCGGCCTCTTTGTTTTCTCCTATTTTTGATGCTCTTTCCATGTGTGCAAATATGGTAAAATTTCCATCTTGATTTCTTGTTTTTTTTAATTCATGTGATTTAGCCAAAATCCCAATTCCTCAAGGGAATCCTTCATACACTTAGAATCTGCTTTGCGCCTGATCAACAGTTTTCAGTTGTCTACTCTGAAGGACCTGGTTTCTTCACTTCTCGCAGTGTACTTATATAGTTAGCTCTTGCAGTAGACATGTTAAGGAGTTGATTCTTCAGTAGTTGTTTGTCATAAACAATACCTCTTTCTTATTTGAGACGTGTAACATCTGGTTCTAGCATCATGTTTGTTATTCTTGTTAATCATCAAAACTCCATATGTGGTTCCTAGCTCAACAGATATATTGACGAGTACCTACTCTACGTACAATTTAGAAACTGTCTCCATTTATCATATCCAACGGGTTCGTACATGTTCCCTGTTCTCTTTCCAATTCATATTGTGCAAATTCCAAGTCTCCTTTCTTTTATTTACTTTTTTTCTTTTAATTTATGCGGTTGATTCTCTTATTTATCAATGAAATTTAAGTTTTCTGCTGTACAACACAGCTGAAACATTTTTGACAACTTCCAGTTGCAGTATTTTTTTTTAAATGAATAAACACTTGTGGTTTCATGTTATAATAAATTTTTAAATATATATAATTCTACAAAGATTTACTAGTCAACAATAAAAACAACTAATTATTTTTTACTATAATTCTCTTTTATATGGTGTGAACAATCTTTTCACATTGAGTATAGATTATTAATTTTTGCAAAATTTGGACAAGACCGAAGAAGTATTACTCTTTACTCTTAGTTTCCAACTCTTCTTGCCTTGTTCCATCTTGGAATTGCTTGGACTTTATTGTTGTGGTATTCTTTCTTTTTTCCCCCACAAAACTGATTTGATTGCCATTGAAATCTGATTACATATGAAGGAGGGCTAGGCCTAGCCTTCTATAGAAGATGTATACATATGACAGAAACCAAAAAAGTTGGCCCAAAACAGTGGGAAAGGAAAAGCTTCAAGGAGGCTCATATTGGAGCCTTCTCGATTTTCTCATCTTGACTCGAAATGATGGGAATTGTCATCTTTCGGTAGTTAGCAAACCTCTGGTGGCGGTTGGTAAGTCTCTATACTGATATACCTTAATTACATCAGTGTTATGCCTCATTGAAGCCAGTTTGTCCGCTACTTTGTTAGCTTCTCTAAATCAGTGCCTAGTAATCACTCCATGGTCTATTACTTATTTCTTTATCTGTACAGGAAGCAAAATAGAACTAATATAATAATGTTACTGAGAATTTTCTTCATGCAGATGATCACTTCGTTTTTCTTTAATATGCATCTTAATTAACTTGCTGGACTTTTCTATGTAGTTCTAACTAGGAATAACTGATGGTTGAAGTATCACAGGACCAAAGTCGTGCTCTGGATATGATCCAGAATGACCCAGAGCTCTCTAGCCTGATGTTGGTCCAGGCACCCCTTGTTGATGTAGAGATCAGAGGTGTTCCAGCTCTTCAGTTTTTAGGGGACATTGTCTGGAAATAAAGAAAAAGAACTAGACACTGCATCAGCTAATCAGGTACATTCTTGTAAGTTGTATTGACTATCTATTTCGTGTGATTTTTCCTGTTCACCCATGACGTTAAAATGTTACTCTAGAAGTTCAGGCAGTAACCTTTAGATAATCTCCTCTGCAGCTTACCTTAGTTGTCTCTGGGGATTATTGCTAATTTGACACAGCACTATTGCATTGGGTCTTGTCCTTTTATTCTTTCTTTGAGATGACTGAGTGGACATTTCTTTTATTTGTTGTATGTATAAACAAAGTATTAACTCAATGATGATATCCTGGAATTGTGATGGAAGTGTCAAATGGATGCGCATATGCTACAGCCTTATCATTTCTTTTGCTAATGTTTGTTTTATTATAATCTGCATTTATACAAGCTTCTTTTTCTGAATGATACAGATGTTTCCAGTCACATTTGCCAACAAACTGCATTGATGGACTATGAGCACCCAAGTCTTTTGATGGTCTTGCTCTAACTAATGAACAGAAATACATGCGATACTCGTGTTATTTTACTAAGGTACAGGAAAATACAAAGTGGGAGTTGTTGAGATGAGTCAACAAAAAATGGGCTGAAAAGAATTGTTTGTTTTCATATTAGTGACTTGACATTTGAAATAAAAAAGAACATGGCAAAGCACTAGTGAAACAAGTAAACTGGATGTCAATCTCCCGTTTATTTTCTTTTTCTTTTTTGCGGACATAGTGAACTTGTTTTGTTGTATAAAATGGGTTGTACGATGCTTTGTATTTTGTGGATTTCGAAACTGCTAAGAAAAGACTTGTGACTGTGCGTATATAGATATGCTTCTGCCTTTATGTTCTGTCAAACTTGGTATACTAGATTTTTCTAGTTCTAATAAATAAGTAAAATATACTACAACGCTTGCTTTACACCCTAGACCCCTCTCCCCTCTGCCTCAGTTTTTTGTCGAAAGGCATTACTGTAACTTATGACTCGGTTGACTGAGAGAGAGTTCTCTTTTGCGTTGTTTGAATATAGTAAAATTTATTGAAAATTGTTTTTGGGTCTGGAGATCATTTCATTAAAATCAAACAAATGGTGGAAGCCCAGTCTATACAAAAAGAAAGGATAGCAATGATCTGGCCCAAAATTAGACTCTATCCAAAACAAGGAATACGAAAGATTTACTAAACAAACCAAATATCTGAGCTTTGTACTAGCGTATTTGGTACTCTCTTCTTCTCCTCGCCTCCACTGTTTGAAAATGTTTCCACCACAGGTGAGCTTGCATCTTCTTCTTCTCCTCTTGTGGGTTTCCTTCCATTTTGATCCCTATTTGTTTAGCTATTGGCTTTGTCTATCGTCTTCACTCTCACTTGGTAAGTGTTCTTCCATCACCTCCCTCTCTTTTTCCTTCCTTTGAGATGATGTTTCACATTTCTTCTTGGGTGGTTGTGTTTGTTACTATAAGGGACGGTAGAAACACTTCAGCTCAGATTTGGCTCTTCCTATAAGCATTTGTTATCTCATATTTGTCTTCTTCGATTTACTCTGCTCTTCTCCTTACTTCTCGTGTTTCTTCATGTCCCTTTGCAGGTGATGTTGAGTAGATGTTGCATTGTCTTCTTTAGGATTCACTTCTGAAAAGCTCCAATTATGCAAGACCCAACGAAGTTTGGTAGCAAGTTTTAGTGGGGCGTTGTGAGGTACATGTTGTTTCCCACTAGAGCTGACAACACACTTGCAGAGGATAAGGTGATTTTCGTAGCAAGTTTGATATCAGGGTTCTCAATAAACTTTAGGAAACTTATTGCAGAAGAGATAAGGCACAGAGTGACTAAGTCACCTACTTCTTTACTTTTCTTCTACTTAATGACAAGGTTATGTAAAGCAGAAGAGTTGCTTATTCTTGTCAAAATTGATGTGGAAACGCTAGTAACTAAGAGGTTCGACATTGAGAATATGAGGGATGAGTCGAGACTTGAGATGTGAGATTCACAAACTAGTGCCACAAGTATCTGGTATAGGTGCACATGCAGGAGCCAGTGTTGGAGGGCGTCCTATGACGTCCACTAGCACTACTATACCGACTTTTACACCCTCTACATTAGAGGCAATGAGAGCACATGGTGTAGAGTCTACTGAGTTTATTGAGACTGCTTCATCATTATCACAGCTCTAACCATATGCTCTTACACCGACAAATTTCATGAGATTGGTAAATAGGGAGGATCAATATAAGAAGCAGAGGAAGTTACTTGTTGAATAACTAGGTCTGTTCGTTGATAGGGCCATCACAGAGGCATTGGGGTCGTATAAAGACTTACATGCCCGAACAAATGATATGGTGTCACACCCCGAGGCTACCCCCTGGACGTAAACACGGGATCTAGAATCACAAGTGACCCCAAGCTAACCCTGAGCTGGCATATCATAGCATACTAAGATAAAATGACATGAGAAATACTATGCGGAAGCCAAAAACCATAATATGACTGAAGTGGGGAATACCCAATACTGTTTGAATAACATACTGAATAAGAGTTTACAATACTAGGTTATAACTCAAAATACTAGAACTGATTCTAACTATGTCTAAATAAAAGCCTCTAACTGACTAGAGATGCTGGGACATGCCCCAAACTAACTCTAGCAACATTGAAACTAAAAAGGAAAGACTGATTAGGAAACATGTCAATCGTCCTCGAAAAATGAGGACTCACCATTGGTACTGCTGAACTAGAGATCGGGAACCGATCTATGCATGATCTGAACGCTGAGGACTTGAACCTACATCACGAGAAGATATAGCGCAGAGTATGCGTCAGTACTTGAAGGGTACTGAGCATGCATGATAGGATAAAGCTGAACAGCATATACATAACTGAAATAAAGCATACTGATCAATGATATAAGATGAACATGAAGAATATACTAACCATGTTGAATATGAACTAAACTGAATGCAATGACTAAGTTCATAACATACTAAAACTGAATACTGAACTGTAACTGATAACTTGGTCAATGCACTAGAATCTGACTGTGGGAGCTACTAATAACTGATATAAAATCACGTGAGCTAAACGTGGAGTCCGATGTATACACCCCATCTAGAGGACCCAATATACCTTACTAGGGATATAAAGGCATGACTGACGTGATCACTAAATATGATGCCCACATAGAGGACTTAACCTACGGGGGCACATAGTTCTGGGACTATGAGGGTGACTGACCTTAGTCCAACTCGATATTAAGCCTACTCCCAATAGAATGTATGAAATACAATATAACTGACATAAACTGGATAGCCCGAAAGTCTGACATGCTAACTGAAAATGCAACATTAAGTACTGATAATGAAACATTTAATGAAATATTCTTAACTGAAGCATGTATATCTATGTAAACTGACCTAGCAAGTGTAATTCATGAACTAAACGAATCTACACAACTAGGGTACTGAATTTCATGCGAGAATTAAGTAACGTAGTTACGAAAATGAAATATTCTGATTAGGATTAATCTAATAGTTAAATATCAACAATAATATAAAGTTCTAGAAACCCTAAGTCTAAACATAATGAAGGGAATCAAGAATCTGACTAAATTCTAGGGACCTAATGGGCGAAAGAAACCCACTAGTGAAATCCCACATACCTGGTGACGAATTCCACAGAGAAATCTTTCGATTTCGTGAATGGAACTGAGGAAAACATGCTGCTTTCTTGCAAAGGGCATGGTCGATGATTTCTCTCTCCTTTTGTTAGGTTTGATCGATTTCTTTGAGAATGAATGGTTAGGGTAAGTTCTGATTAAGTTACTAGGCTTAAACTGACCAAAACGACGTAGTTTAGGTGTCCAACGCATAGGGAAAAGACCAAACGACCCCCGACTTAAAAGCTGTCGAGGCCAACGACGGGCCTGATCGATGGACCGTCGACTGACCTAGGGTCCGTCCTGGTCAGTCGTCGATTGGCTTTAGAAATTGGGATCTGGGGTTCTGAACCACGGCCTAGACCACAAACCTTGGTTTGACCTATTAGTTGAGATTTTCTGGGTTTCTGGGGAGGGTTGCAGGTGGTCAACCACGGACCCCACCTACGGTCCGTGGGTGGTCCCCTTTAATTTCTGATTTTCTACAATCTGGTCTTTCTAGCATATGGGGTGTTACTTTATCTCCCGCTTGGGAACATTCGTCTTCGAATGAAGACTAAACTAGCTGAATATGGAGGGAAAGTACTGCAAACCGTACCACTAAGTACTAGAAACTGAAATCTGACTAACTAAGTTCCAAGAATTTGCAAATACGTTGAAAATGCAAGTATAACTGAAGGAACATGATAGTAAGATTGAATTTACGCATGAGTAACTGAAAGACTGGAGAGGAACTATTACCTCAAGCTGTAATGGAATCGGAAGGAAAGAGATGAGGATACTTGGCCTTCATGGCTGCTTCTGCTTCCTAAGTAGCTCCCTCTACGGACTGACTCCTCCACAATACCTTAACTGAAGCGACTTCTTTATTTCTCAACCTTCGAACCTGACGATCAAGAATCTCAACTGGCACATCCTCATAAGTGAGACTATCCTTCACAGCCACACTTTCCAATGGTACTATAGATGCTGGATCACCCACACACTTTTTGAACAACGAAATGTGAAAGACCGGAGGCACCGCTGCTAGTTCTGATGGCAACTCTAATTCATAAGCCACTTTGCCAGCTCTTTTCAAGATCCTATAAGGGCCTACATATCTAGGATGGAGCTTCTCTTTCTTGCCAAATCTCATTACCTTCTTCATAGGTGACACTTTCAGGAAAAACCAATCATCAATTTGGAACTGCAAGTCCCTTCTCCTTACATCTGCATAGGACTTCTGACGATTTTGGGCTGTCTTAAGTCTATCCCTGATGAGCTGAACGTTTTCCATAGCATCATAAACCAAATCTAGTCCTATCAAGGCTGCTTCACCTACTTCAAACCACCCAGCTGGGGATCTACATCTACGCCCATACAATGCCTCATAAGGGGCTATCTGGATACTGGAATGGTAGCTATTATTGTACGCGAGCTCTATAAGAGGAAGGTGATCATCCCAACTACCCTTGAAGTCGATCACCCAAACTCTCAACATGTCCTCTAAGGTTTGAATGGTACGCTTTGCCTGACCATCCGTCTGTGGATGAAATGTTGTCCTGAGGTTAACCTGAGTACCAACACCTTTCTGAAAGGACTTCCAGAAGTGAGAGGTAAACTGAGGACCTCTATCTGAGATGATAGTCATGGATTTAAACCTGAATATCTTATTAATGTAAATCTTGGCGCAGTCCTCCACTGAATCTGTAGTCTTAACAGTAAAAAAGTGAGCGGACTTAGTAACTCTGTCTACTATCACCCAAATGGAGTCATGCTGTCTGCGAGTACGTGGTAAACCTGTAATGAAGTTCATGTTTATCACTTCCCACTTCCATGTAGGAATGTTCATCTCTTGTGTCATACCTCATGGTTTCTGATGTTCTACCTTCACCTGCTGACAATTAGGGCACTTAGCCACAAAATTTGCTATATCCCTTTTCATGCCATTCCACCAAAATATTTCCCATAAATCATGGTACATCTTAGTGGCGCCTAGATGAATAGAATACCTGGAGTTATGGGCTTCTGAAAGGATATGTTGTCTCAACTCACCCACCTTAGGAACACATAAATGACCCTGGTAGCGAAGCACACCATCTCCCCCTTGGGAGAAAACCTCAACTTTCTGCTGATGAACGACACCCTTCAATTGAAGCAATATAGGATCACTGTCTTGTTTTTCCTTAACCTCCGCTACCAATAAAGATTCT